CATAGGGTGCTGGAATAATAATGTATGAGGTATATGTTGATTACGTTGTATCACAATAGTTATATTTACTAGAGTTTGTATCCAACTTACTTCTAAAACTTGTTGTTGAACAGACCGTCCTTCAGATGCAGCCTTGCCGCCCAAAAATGCAAGGTAACACATAAGCATTTTGGTGGTTTCAGTCTTACCAGCCCCACTTTCACCACTTACCAGAATAGAGTTGCTTTTCCCATTAGTTATCATAGCCCTGCCACAAGTTTATGATAGTCTATGTCATCCCATGAGACAAAAAACAGGACAAAATAAAGAAGCTAACCTATATGCGACATCAGCAATTGCAAAAACATGAGGCTTCAGCTCCCCCACTGGTGCTCCCTTGTACTGCTCCATCACACACGGATCATACAGATTTGAAATACTTTGGAATGGGTTGATGGCAATAAGAATATTTCCAGTATAAGTCTGTATAACGTCAGGGAGTTATTATTTGGATCCCTAGCTGGAGTGTAATGAATCTGTTTTTTTCACCAGGTGAATCATCAAAACCCATAAATAATCTTACATAGATTTCATTTATTGCATATCTGATAGCCAAATTATGCAGCAACCCAGGCTCATTCAAATACGACATTCTAGTCATATCGTCAATTCCAGTAGCAGGAGCTTCTGCATCCCTTGGATATAGATTCGACATTTTTACAACCACCTGCCAACATAAACTTGGGTAATATTTTTCCAGACATAATCAAAATAAACTGAGGTTTTTTTTTCGGGTGGGGGGAATAGACATAATGAGGACAATGACTTCAAGAACCCTAAAATGTGAGGCAAGGAAACAGTCTAAGAGTTCATTATTTTCATGATTAATCTCTATTTGGTAGCATTTTTTGTCCTTCAACACCTAGAAAACATTTTCTAAGATGGTAATAGAACTCACTTCTTGGCTTCTTTGTGGAGTTCAATCACTAGAGATTCTGAGTATATACATCATTTTCTTAATTTTTCACGACTTAGTACTCACTAGTATGTTTTGTGTAACCTTATGAATTTCTTAAACAACTCTTGTTTAATTTCTTTTTTATTTAAATAGAACCATATTACCTGCCTCCCATCACTAGTTTGAATCTCAGCATCTTCCCCAATGATGTTCAATACGAGTCCATCAATCCAAACAGACTCGATATCTCCCACCCATATGTGAGAACCAACAACGATATTCACAGGATTGTCCTGCAGAGCAAATTATAGATGATCTCAGTATTCAAATTCACAATCATACATTAGATAAACAAAGCTTTTTATATCCAGCATTTGGAGCTAAGTTACTCTTCAATCATACGTTACAGTTCAATCAGTAGTTGATACACAATTACAAAAATATATCAACATGGGCTTTACAGTGCCTAGAGCTCAAGGAGGATGTGAAAACCTCGAAGCTTGTGCATCGTAGATTGGATTGGTCGCTTAATATCGGAGTAATCTAGAGCGCCATCAATAGCCATAACATAATCACTAAAAATACCATTAGCAATAAATAACATAGCACAGCTTCGTAATATCAGCAGACCATCAAATGAATCGTTTCATATCAGATTAGGGTTTTACATTTCTAATAAACTCAACGAACGCAATCATATCTCCCGCCAATTTCACAAAACCGCCAAGATGTTCGTAACTTGGAATGGCTCAAAATTTGAAGATCGAATCGTTAATTTACGTACCATTCCGACTCCCAAGATGAATGTCCGAAACGTAGCTACGCGAACATGAGCGTATGATTCTGTATGCAAAAGCAATGAGAAGATCAAAAGTTGTTGTACAGAAGCTTGAATCGCTGGAGGGAAATAATTCTTGCGTAAACCCAGAAGTTTGGCTTTCTAGGTCCTGTGCTTGAGCTTCGTCCTCGTGTTGCATTGTTTGTGGCAGTAGAAATCTTGAATTCTCCAGTTCCGCCATTTTCGGGCGGAGTTCTTGTGGCTATTTTTGCTCTACCCCTCTCCATTGCCAGAAACACACAAATGCATGAAAAAATTGCCAAAATAAAGGATTGCGTTACCAATTTGGTTTCATATACTATTTATTTGGCCTCCTTCTCTATAATTATAATATTAATTTTGTTTAACATTAAAATTTAATTTGCAATCACTTAATCCCTAAAATTTTAATTTTATAATATTGTAATTATCATCATCATCATACATCTCTTTACAACTCACAAACAATCTAATAAATCCAAAATTTTTGTTTGTTTTGTTACATTTCCAAAAAATTCATATAGATTGAATCGTTATAACTGATCAATTTTCGGTTCGTTTTTTTAAGATATTGTACATACACACAAATATATATATATATATGTGTGTGTGTGTATATATATATATATATATATGTGTGTATATATAAATTTGTAAAAGAAAAACCAAAAGAGAAAAGGAAGAGGAAAAAGAATCTGAAACTACGGGAACGGATTTAAACCAACGAAGAACAATTTCATGAACGATTATACGAACAGGTCATTCTCGAAACAAAAAATAGATTGAGAAGTATAAGAATACATATACACGATTACGAAGAGAAGAATCGGAGTTATGGTAACAGATTCGCAGACTCTCAAAGAACAAGAATTATCCATCACAGGCAATGCCTTCCATCGCTAGGCAAACTAAAGTGAGAGCAAGGATTCCGGCCAGATGGCGGAACCGGCGCTCTATACTGCGGGCGGAGCGCCTCACCGCTGGAGTCTCGAATCGGCCTCGCCGTCACCGTCGCGATTCCGGCTTCCTCGATCGCTACCAGTAGCAGAAGCACCGCCATTACGGCAAATTTGAGACCGGACTTCTTATCGCCGCTGCGCATGGTTTCTTCGATTCGCTGGAGAAGTAGAATCGGAAATGTGATGAAGAAGAAAGGCCGATTCCATGACGGATTTTAATGGCGGAGGTGCCATTGCCTCTTCGTGGAGTATGAAATTCAGAAGCAATTTCTGAGGGATTTGGGAGAATTTTGTGGAGAGTTGTAAATTTCTAAGCATTGAGGCTCGGTCTTTTGATTTCACACTGAGTTAACGCTGAAAGCTGCCTTCTTGCGCGGCCCGGGAAGATTTTCATCGCAGATTTCTATTTTATTTGCAAATTTTTAAAATATTATTTTTTAATTCTTTTATTAAGTAATCAAATTTGTTTTTGTTATCCAAATTTCTCATCAAATATTTATTTATTTTTAAATATTTAATTAAATTTTACCACTCAATTTCAATCTAAATTAATAGAGTTATTTACCCCCATAAAAAAAAAAAAAATATATATATATATATATATATATATATATATATATATATATATATATATATATAAAAAAGTCAATCTCTCGACAAAATTCTCTTTGTTCGTCCCCAGGAATTGCCCTTTAAAGGAAGGGCAAGAAATGAGTTTGAGCTGATCATCCAGGTCTTCCTTATTGGCTCTGGAAGTTTCAAGGTCGAGCTTGATAGCAAGGCTAGACGTAATATTCACTTCCCCATTTAGAGTGAAATGTGATGTGAAAGGTAGAAAAAAAAAAAGTGAACCGTAGGATCTCGTCCAACTTAACAGATCTCATGGTAGGTCATAAATTGGGAGAATTTGCACCCACTCGAAATTTTCGAGAGTATGTGGAAAATGATAATAGATCTCGTCGTTAATAATTAATATTATTAATAAAATGGCAGTTCATAACTAATATGTGTTGATTTTTTGGTAAAATATTACCATAGAACAATTTTACAGCTAAAACGTTCAAGAAAGTCACCACTAAAAAAAAGAGTATATCAATTTATGTATGTCGTCGGCCTTAGAAATCAGAAATTACGAATTTCTCCCTCTTAGGTGCGGTCGAACTAAAAAAAGCAGTAAATTATACAATATTTTATTAACAAACTTTATTTATGGATAGTAATATGTATTATCGTTACAGGGATACATGAGTTATATTTATTTATGGATGATTTGAGTTGAGTCAGCCAACGAACGGAACTCGAGTGACAATTCCATCTTCGTTAACCCAAATCCTCACCCTATCGCACCTGAGGTCCAAAGTCACCACCCTCCCTTCTCGAACTATGGCTGCATCCACATATGGATTCTCCTTTTCTATCCTTGACCTCGCCTCTTCACCTCTCGCTCCCAGCAGCTCCGGCCACATCATTTTTCCTGCTAAAATTATTACAATTAAGCGTTAATTTTATATAATTAAAGAATACTCACTCTACAGACATTTTGAGAAAGTTCAAAGTTATGAAAATGTATGCTTAAAGTGGACAATGTAATGTCATATCTGGTGGAGATTCAGGATTTTAAATAATTTATTGACACTTACCTCGACAAAAAAGGGCCATGTCTCTGAATCGGCTAAGGCGTTGCCTTTAGGTTTGGATTAAGGTTAGGGTTTAGGGTATTTATAGAGGGAATGGGAGAAAGGAGGGATGAACCGCCATTAATGCGTGAAGAAAGGATGAACCGCCATTAATGAGTGAAGAAGAATTAATGGAAGGGGAGAAACACGACAGTTCGGCTTAGGACACTCATGATCTCCATCCTTTCCCTTGCCAAAGCACTTTTGGAAGTTTTCAAGTAATTCTTGTTTTGGATCGAGACAAAAACAGTTGCGATTTGGATTTGCTTCACAAATAATTTTGTTAGATAATCATTCGATTTTTTTTAAAAAAATTATGTTAGTTTTTTAGAACTTATCGTTCATTTCCGAAAATTTGTGCTCTTAATCAAATTTTACAAGCATAAATTTAATGTTTGGAAAGTTTAGAAATATTTTGATAGTTTAGAAGTGTTTTTTTTTTCTTATTTATTAATTTTGCGATATAAATTCTATAATTCTTCTCAACATGCATAAAAAAAATTACGAAATTTACTCGGTTGAAAATTCAAATTAGTTTTAAGAGTTTGTACTTAGAAAATGAGTCAGCTACACTCGATGATCTGATCGTCTTTATTGGTGAATTAGAAAGGATGAACAGTTTTAGTGAACATAATATAGATTTTCACTCCCCATACTTCACCAAACAAATGCACTGTTTGCCAAAGATCTCCATTTCAGCGACTGAAAGCTTCTCGATTCAAGATTCACTATACACCGACCGGAAACACAGAAGAAATGAGATTGAGCTCCGAAGAATTCTTGGCGTCGAATGCAATTCGAATAATCAAGGAACAGTGAGTCCTACCTTCGTGTATTGGGAGAAATCAAAGTGAGTTTCTAGATTCCGCATTCTTCAGATTGTTCTTACGGCAATCGCCATCAATTTACTCTATTCCCGCTTCGATTCTTCGAAGTAGTATCTATTTCTCTTCCATAGTTGACGAATTCGGAAAAATTCGGCTTGTTTTTCTGGTAGTGGATGGAATCCCCACTGCGATCGAGGATGGAGATGCTGTAGAAAACCCTAGCGGGAAGCCTTTGGCCAGAATAGTTTCTGAAGCTGAGGCAACTGCGACTAATATTTCAGATACTGAGCCATATGTAGGTATGGAGTTTGAATCTGAGGAGTCTGCCAAGGTTTTCTACGATGCATATGCTTCACGACTTGGTTTTGTTATACGCGTTGATGCATTTCGTCGGTCCATGCGTGATGGTTCCGTTGTTTGGCGACGACTTGTTTGTAACAAAGAGGGGTTTCGCAAGTTTCGGCCGAAAAGAAGTGAAAATAGGAAGCCTCGAGCTATAACACGAGAAGGATGTAAGGCAATGGTTGTTGTAAAGAAAGAGAAATCTGGAAAATGGATTGTAACGAAGTTCGTCAAGGATCACAATCATCCACTGATTGTTACTCCTGCCAGTGCTCGTCGAAACGTTCTTCTATCACAGACACGGGTGAGGACTTACTTTGATTCACTTTGTGTTCATTTACGCTGAGATCATGTGTTTTTCTAGTTTCTTAACTCATTTTCTAAGTGTTCTACCTTTGATTCAATGATGTACTTCAGCTTTCCAAGTTCATTTGCTTCAAAAAGAGCAAATAGGTATCATTTTATTGTTGAATTTCTTTGGTGTGGTGTGTGGCCTCATGTTCTGATCAGATCATCCATCTTGAGATTTTTTGAATGACTTAGAATTGATCGGAGCCACTGTATAGCCACTCTAGACTAGAAATTTTTTAGTGTTATAGTGCTTGTTTCAAACCATATAGTGGTTTCCTCCATATGCTTGGACGTTTCTTCATGAACCGTAGTTTTATATTGGCAAACTTGGTCTTACTGTCTTCATCTTCCATTTTTGAAGGCTGTTGTATTTTTAAGTGGGTCGTGAGATCCTACGTTGGTTGGATTGGAGAACAAAGAATGTGGAAACCTCTCCCTAGTAAACGCGTTTTAAAACCTTGAGGGGAAACTTGGAAAGGAAAGCCCAAAGAGGACAATACCTGCTAGTGATGGACTTGGTCTCTGAAAAATAGTATCAGAGCTAGACACCGAGCGATGTGCCAGCGAGGAGGTTGGGCTCCAAAGGGGGATTGGGGGTCCCATGTCGATTGGAGAGGGGAACTAGTGCCAGCGAGGACGCTGATCGTGGATTGTGAGATCTCACCTCGGTTGGAGAGAGGAACGAAACATTCTTTATAAGGGTGGGAAAACCTCTTTCTAGTAGATGTCTTTTAAAACCTTAAGGGGAAGCTCAAAAGGAAAAGTCCAAAGAGGACAATATATGCTAGCGGTTAACTTGGAGTATTACATCCTACTTCCATTAGAGGTAAGGCTCCAAGCAGATAAACCATGTCGTGTGGTTTTGAGCGTTGTCTTGCATCTTATTGTAATGACAAATGTACTTCATTAATGACCTCTGTCCTAGACAACAAGCTTCACAGTCCTTTGATTTTACACAATCTTCAAAAGCTTCACTATAGTGAGATATGCTATCTTGGCTTTTGAGGTCGAAGGATCAATCTCCAACACATGCTCCACATGTTTCTGCAGTGTCTGTGTGCTGTACTGAATCCCTTCCCCCATAGCGTCTTGATTTTTACCTCCTTTTTCGACACATGAACTCAATATAGTGTCCAAGATACATTGTTTATATATCTTCATGTTTCTGTTACTATTATTTCAGGATGAGAAAGATGCAAAAATTCGAGAATTAACTGCCAAACTGCAGCTAGAACGAAAGCGATGCGCAGCTTATCAAGAACAGCTTGCCATGATTTTAAGAGACATGGAGGATCACTCGAATCATCTGGCAATAAACATAGATGACATTGTTCAAAGTGTGAAGGATATTGAATCAAAAAGCAATACATTTTCAAATAGCTAACAACAGAATCCAAAGAGAATATATATATATTTTTGTAAAATTTTCTATGATAACTGTTTATATTGTTCATTAATCCTGCCCTTTCCCCTCCCATTTTGTGATTTGTATGGCTAAAGTTTAATAATACAAAATGTGAAGGAAGACGAAATGAGAAGGGATGAGAAGCTCGAAACATTTGATTTCAAAGAGAAATGAAGAAAACGAAAGGTTCGATTTGAAGGGTCGAAACGAAGTTATTATCACTGAAGTTAATTTTATTATGAAAATGGTTTTTAGAAAATAATAAATGATATCATTATCAAATTTGTATATAGTTCATATTACGTAGCATTCTAATTTGTGTTTATTTGAATGAAAAAATTTAAAGTTTTAAGATTAACAAATTTGGGTATTTATATTATTTAATTTTAAATTTGTAGATATCGAGAACGGTAAATTGGAGTGTTCTTGAAAAAAAAAATCCCCACTATCGTGAAAGGTAAATGGTAATACTTATTGAGAAAATCTGACACTACTTCGATACACATTCAAATCCCAGACCGGAAAAGGGCGGCAGACTTCAAATTTCGCTCGAAGATCGATCGAGGAGGAGAAATTGTGGATACCCAGAAGGCAGCAGCAGATGAGTGGGGCGAGGCTGTGTGGTTTGTTGGGCGAATTGGGGTATGAGGGCGCACAGGCATTGGACCCCGACAGTTTCGAATGGCCATTTCAGTACGACGATGCTCGCTCCATTCTCGACTGGATCTGCTCTAGCCTTCGTCCCTCCAACGTCCTCTCCCCTGCTGAGCTTTCCCAGTAACTTCTTCTCCACTTTTCGCCTTTTTCCTTTCTCTTTTTGTTTTTTTTCTTGTTAATTTGTGAATGTTTGTGTTGAGCTTGAATTTTGCTCATCGGCGAGTGTCATTTTGCTATGTGATATCTAGGTATGGGCAATTCCTGGAAGAGGGAAAGCTTTTGGAGGTGAATTCTGTAGAATTTTTCAGTATGGTTTTGTTTTGTTTGAAGAATCGTTCGGTTTTAATTGTTGGATATGTCGAACAGGGGGAGGATTTGGATTCGGCTTATGATAGCATTTCGGCCTTTTCGTCTAGACGTGACAACCAAGACGCTTTCTTTGGAGGCGAAGAAGGGCTGAAGGAGATAAGGTACCATATTGTGTACATTACTTAATATTGGTTCTTATGTTTGATTTTTACAATCTTGTTTGCAACATTGGTAGAGAAGCAACTCTCGCATATAAATCTGAAGCATTAGAGTTACAAAGACAACTTAGACATCTCCAGTCACAATATGATATGCTTACACGTGAAGCTTCGACTTTGACCCAAGGGAGACGGGCGCGAGTTGCTGCAACTTCTAGTGTCAATGGACAATTAACAAGTATAGATGATAGCATTTCTGCAAGGAATTTAGAGGTATGAAAACAACGAGGTGAACATTTTATTAAAGGATTTTTTAGGTGTTTTTGAAATAAAGCTTTTAGGGCCCTATTGGGAAGACACCAATTAGTCTTGACATTTCTGAATAAGTCCTCTGAGCAAGCATCCGCAAAGGGACAATTAAAGTTATATTTAGTGTCATATTTCCCCCTAAAAAATAGGTTGTTGTAATTGTGAACATTCTCTTTGAGAAATTACTTGGTGAATTATTTGGTTCAAAGGCATCTTAAAATGTTCTTCTTTTCTTTTCTTTTGTAATTTAGATGAATGCTGTTCTTGGAAGGATTGCGTCCACAGCCCAAGAGTTGGCTCATTATCATTCCGGCGACGGTATTATTTTAGTTGTTCATGTACCACCTTTTATGATGAGTTTTTATTCTACTACTTTAAGGTTGACTTGGCCAGATATTTTAAATCAAATTTAAGGTTATATCTTGATTCTATGTCATGTGTATGTGTGTGTGATTAGAAAAATACCGTTGCATTTTGCAATACCCCTTCTTATAACCTCATTGTCTCTCAGGAAAATGTCGTCACCAATCTTTGTTAGTTGTTACGGAAATTTAAATGCTTGAAAAAGTGTTAATATGGTTGTTGAACTCAAGGGAAGAAAAAAAAGGGAAAGAAAAGAAAATTGAAAAAGAAGTGTTAATATGGTTGTTGATTTTGTAAGATGTTCATGCACAAGATAAAGTGTGGTGAAAACCGTCGCATGAGGTGCTACATGATCTGATATGTTCTAGAGGCTCCTCTTTGAGTGGTTTGTCTAATTGCTCTTATTATTCTTCTTTCCTATTTAATAAGATTGGGTAGGATTGTTGCAGAAGAGGTACGTTTAGTTGTCTTATTTCATCTGACTTGTAAGTGTATCCAATCCCTGTATGCGTTGTAACAAATGATTCTAATCACTACTAAGCTTGGGCATCATGCGTGTCCATTTGCTTGGTACAACATTGACACTTCCAATCCCTTAGATAATAGTCCAAGTTTAATTCATTTTTGAACAAACTCTTTTCATTTTCATTTTTCTCTTTGATTCCTGCTTGTGCAAGTTATGAACATGATTGATCGTGCAGAGGATGGTATCTATTTGGCTTATTCCGACTTCCATCCATACTTGGTTGGGGATTCATCCTGCATAAAGGAGCTAAATCAGTGGTTTTCTAAGCAATTAGACACGGTATGCAAATTTTATTTTTAGATCTCTTGACTTTGAAATTGTATAATAGGAACTTTTGGCTTGACTTTGAAATTGTATAATAGGAACTTTTGGCCATCAAGAATTCACTTTTGACAGATTGTGATGATACTTCTTTTGATAGGAAACGTAGAACTGTCATTGAGAAAAAACAAGATTTGAATAAGGGAAGGGAGATTATAATTCCCTATGACCATGTGAAGGAATGACAGAAGAGCTATTTAATTTAGAATTGGAGAAATACCAATGTTTTAAAAGGTTTTGTTTCTAATGCTTTGCGACTTGAAGCAAGACTCAAATTGTAGCCTAGAATCTTTTGCCTTATTTGAACACGAGGTTTATGCTTTCATGAGCACACAGAAGCTTGAAGCCTTTCGTTCTAAGAAATAATGAAAGCCAACAATATCAAATTACTATCTATTTTATGAAGGCTGACAAAATTATTGAGGACAAAAGTTGAAGTTCTATTTGTGACAGTATTTATACATTTTAAATGGAAAACCAAGTTTCACCGTGAAAAATGGAAGAACACAAAAGAGCATATAAAAACAACCAAGTATAAAGGAGCCAAGCGATTAACCATGCAAAAAGAACTCCAATTCAAGATGATAAGGGTTAGCAAGATCCTTGGACAAAAAAGCCTAAATGGATGTGTTAAGCCTAGGTAGAGATCAAACCTCTTCCCAGTCTCTTAAATTCTTTAAAAATGCTAGTATTTTTCTCAAGGCTCCACAGGACAAGCACATCTTTTTTCTTTTCTTTTTCTATTGTCTTTTAATGTTATTATCCTTTTTAATGAAAAATATTTAATTTCATTGATATTGATGAAATTACAAATTAATGTGCGACATTCACCAAACTTCTACCTTATAATTTCCTTTCATTGTTTTTGTCCTGCAATTATGGTCAGGGGCCTTATCGACTAGTTGCTGAGGAGGGCAAGTCCAAATGTTCATGGGTGAGTCTTGATGACATGTCAAATATCTTAGTAAGAGGTATGTTTCTTGTAAGCTTTATTTTACCTCTAGTTGTATGAACTTTTCTTTAGTTTCAGTAGGTATGAATATGTTGAAGATCGTGATCTACTACCTTTTCCTTTGTACATCAGGTTCTTGTACCGTATGAGCTTTTATAAATTTGAACCACTTAATTAAACTTGTGGTTCTTCTTCTTCTTCTTCTTCTTTTTTTTTTTTTTTTTTTTTTTTTTTTTTTTTTTTTTTTTTTTTTTTTTTTTTTTTTTTTTTTTTTTTTTTTTTTTTTTTTTTTTTTTTTTTTTTTTTTTTTTTTTTTTTTTTTTTTTTTTTTTTTTTTTTTTTTTTTTTTTTTTTTTTTTTTTTTTTTTTTTTTTTTTTTTTTTTTTTTTTTTTTTTTTTTTTTTTTTTTTTTTTTTTTTTTTTTTTTTATGATTTTGGCAAAATGTTGTCTTTTAGATTGAGGAGAAGGTGAGCGATCTGAGTCCTTTGTCATGCAATGCACTTATGATTGATTTCATGGATTTTTAGATTGCTTGGTTTTTCTTCATGCAGATTTGGAGACATCCCATCATCAACGCGTATCCGAATTGCAAAGGCTACGCTCAATGTATTTATTTCTTATCCTATAGTCAAGTGCATTACTTGCTTACTTGAATTGATGCTTTATTCCTAAGTGATCACTCGTGTTGAAAAGTTATTGGTTCTTTAGCCTCGAGAATGTGGAAATCTTTTAAGCATGATTCAAATGATTTACATATGGTCTGCTTTAATCTTTTATTGAATAAGAAACACCTTCTCATTATTCCAATTCAAATTGAACATGTTTTAGATTGTCCAACAGTTTTATGAGATTTGCTACTTTTATTTTTAATGTGTAACCTCATCCTCTTCTTTCTCTTCTCTCAGAAACAAGATCTAAATGCCAAATCATGTTTTTATACTGTTGGCACAGTTTCCACGTCCATCTGGACCATGCTTTTACTGTTTCAGTATTTGTTATGATAAATGGTTATGCGTTAGATTCTAAAACATCCATCATGATTGAGGGGCCGTATGTTGTTTCTCTTTTGTGCTGATTTACCTTTCATATGGTCTTTTAATACTAGTCGAGTTCTAATTAGAGGTTCTCTCTTTGCATGTGATTTCTCTTTAGTGCTTTGGATCTGAATGTATCTTTTTTTTTTTTTTTTTTTGCTTTTGTTTACTTGTATTCTTTTAATGATGGTTTGGGACACGTCTTTGTTTTTTAGTTTTGGGACAAGTGAAAGACAATGGGTCGAAGCTCAAGTTGAAAATGCAAAGCAGCAAGCTATTCTTATGGTTCTCAAGTCGCAAGTTACGTCAGACGAAGCCCATATTCATCTCGATCTCCATTCTCTGAGGTATACTTTCGAAGGGCATTAATTATGATTCAAGATCTTTTAGGTTTGTTTCTAACTTTT